GGGGGGACGGCCCCAGCCAGGGTGGGGGGCAGAGCGGCAGGGCCCAGGGCGGGCCCTCCAGGAGAGCCCCCTTGCCGCCTCCCGGCCCGGGTCCCTCCAGCTGATACTGGGGGGGCTTGGGGGGCTTGCTTGGCTTCCTCTCTTCTTTGCCCGCAGAGGGAATTTCTGTTTTTCTGCGTTCCTGTCCCTCGTCCTCCCGCTCTGTTCATTCTTTCTTAAAGCCTCTCCAATTCCTGGGGACTTTCTCGGCCTCTTCCTCTTCTTCTTCTTCTTCTTCTTCTTCTTCTTCTTCCTCTTCTTCTTCCTCCTCCTCCTCCTCCCTCCTCTTCCTCTTCTTCTTTTGCAGCCGTGCTCTTTATCTTTTCAGGGTACTTTTAATTGTAAGCTGCCCAGAGTCTTTGGGAGTTGGCGGGCCTGTAACTTGCATTAGCAAATAAACCAATACAACATTTCCCCACCTTGCTGGTATTTCGAAGGGCCCTCATGCCCCGCCTCTTCGCCCGGGCCTTGGGCGAGGACGACCGGCCTCCTTTCCTTCCTTTCCTCGCTCCCCTCTGGGTTATTCTGTTGCCTTCTGCTGTTTTTTGTCGTTTTGTATTGTTCTTCGGTTTTAAAGGTTTCTAACAACTGTAAACCGCCCAGAATTGCTGGGAGTCGGCAGCACATAAATTTAATAAATTATTATGGTTGGTCGCACAGTCAGCCAGATATTTAGACTGGATTTGGCATTTTTATCCACCTATCAAGTTCTTCCCAAGGACCTGGGATAGGCAGATGTTGTTGTTGTTATTATTATTTTCCTCCTAGCAGCTGCTGTCAGATGGATGGTGCAGGTCCTTGGGGCTCTGACTACTTTTATTGGTTTACACAGTCACTGTTCATTTTCAGGATTCGCTTTTTGAACAATGTGCTGTAACAGAGAATCAAGATCACTGGGCACCTCAGATTTATGAATGAGGGAATGAAGGAACGACTAAATAAATGTGTGCAGTGCTTATTATTAATTAGTCCTACTTTGCCCAATGAGTCTTTCCTCCTGATGCAAATGTAGGATAATCCACGGCCCTTCTGGGTAAATTGTTGAAGGTAGTTTTTATGATACAAAATAACACACCCAAAAATAATGGCATTATAACTCTTGGCCTCAGTTGCTCAAGCCAATCAACCAAATCTCGTGTGGGAGGGAAGGAGAAACTAAATCCATTTTGGATTGCATATTTTTGTTCTTCTCCGAAGTGAAGGAGCAGAAATGCCTATGGGAAGTGGATGGGGGAGGGAGCTCCTTGATCTTAAATAACAACAACCCAATCTGTTGGCAGCAGTGTGTTCTGATCCCTGAGATAAGATTTGCATCTAAAATTTTCTCCAGAGGCCCAACCAGACAGAAGGAGCTGAAAATGATCAGGAAGAGCAAGGGTGGCAGGCAGATGGTCAAGTTGATTTGCACCGTTGATTTGCAGATAATTCTAGTCCCTGACGGTGGTAAATGCAATTCTATCTTAAGTGCTGTAAGTTTTTGGCCATTCCCTAAGAAACCCTAAGGACTGTACTCTTAGAAGCTTTAAATGCTGAGGTATCTCCCACCCCTGGCAAATTCCTTGTTGTTGTTATTATTTTATGAAGCATTTGGCTTCAGGATCACATCAGCATGAAAGCCCCTTTTTTATACCTCTTAGGCTTCCCATGGCTGAAAATCACAGAGACCACCCATTTTGCACTATGGCTCACTGTGGTCCTCAGCCCCACCCCCCAAATGTTAAGCATGCCCTCCAACAAAAATGTTCACTTTCTTCTCCTAGAGCATGTTTTAGGAAAAAGTGTGCTTATCGCATGACAGAATAATGGTACATCTATTTTCCCAACGCAATTCTATGCATTCATTTGAAAGTATATCCCTGGTGGTTCCCAAGGGAATGTCTGGGTTAAAACAGAAGGTGGGAAGAACAGAACATCTGCTTCTGATCAAGAGGCAGGTGCCATAATCAGTGTATCTAGTTTTAAGACCCTCGGTTTATTGTGTGGTTGGAGGGACTCATTATTCATTTCTCTGTCCCAGCACCCATGGCAATGTGCATCAATTCCAAGAGAGTTAAAGCATTTGCGCGAGTCAAGCCGACGGCAGACTTTCCTCAAAACATGATCAGATTTGGGGCAGACAACAAGGTAAATGAGCTAAATGAGTACAGAAGATGACAGAAACCAAACTCTTCTGGAGTTCTGGAGATAACTTTTTACTTGGTTGTATTGATGCATCTTAAGATGGAACTTGAATTTATTCCCTTTCTAGACAATTGAGGTGTACATTGAGAGGGATCATTCCAAAGGCGTTGTCAACAACAAGCAGACAGACTGGTCTTTTAAACTAGATGGCGTTCTTCATAACGCGCCTCAGGACGTGGTTTATGACGCTGTAGCCAAAGACCTCGTCTCGCAGGCACTAAATGGATATAATGGTAAACCTTCTGATCGTTATTCTGTGAATCTGCATTGAACGGAACCTGCAGCGTGCAGGAAGGTTGGCAGATGTGTGAAAGCCAGCCTCCCCTCTCCTGAAACCATTGGCCTTCTGGACTGGGAATGATGGGGGTTTTAATCCAACATACTTGGGGAAGGCAGATTGGGGAACACATTCAACCCATATTGTATTGGCCAAAGCTTATTCATGAAGCAAATCTCTTTCCTGTCAAAGGGAAGGGCTACATTTCGTAGAGATCCAGTAGGCCGAGTCTGAGTTGTTCGCTGTTGGCTCTGAAACATTTCTAGGGACTATAATGTGCTACGGGCAAACTGGAGCTGGCAAGACATTCACCATGACAGGAACAACAGGAAACTTCAAGCACAGGGGGATCATACCTCGAGCTATCCAGCAGGTGATTTTGACCAGAAGACAAAGAGGAAACTTAGGCTTTTTTTGCTGGGTGATCTCAGACTCCTGTTAGACCAGGAATACTTTTTGTGGCCAGAGGGCACACCTTCCTTGTCCCTGGAAATCTGGGCAAATATTGGAGGGTCATACAAAGTATCGGAGGACCTGAGCATCATTGCGGTAGAACAAGGATGCAGTTTGCTTATGCCATGTTGTTTGTGGGGGTGGCTGGGATTTTCCTTTATCTCTCTCTAAAAAGAGAGTTTTTTTTAAAAAAATCTGCATTTAAGTTACTTTTAAAGCTTTTTCTACATTTCTGTGTCAACACAGATGGGCTTGTGAAAGCTGCAAAAATATTTAGGGCCCCGTGTCTTACATAAAGATGCTGAGCTAACTGGCCTGGGAAAGCTTTGCTGTTCTCCAGCCAGGGATGTCCACAGGGTATGGTCAAAAGGTCACCAAAGTGCACCCAGTTTTTATGTATGTGGCATCTTGACTTTTTTTTACCATACCCTGCAGACCCTCCTGCAAGAGAATTTCTTCCTGGTTTGAGTTCCAAAGCTGGATGGGCCCCCTTGAAAAAACAGTCCCTTGCAAACATCTTGAAGTTGAATTTGCTGCCCTTCCCTGCAGGTCTTCAAGTCCATGGAGGAGCACAGCAGCCAGTTTATCACTGTTCGGATTTCTTATCTGGAGATTCACAATGAGATAATTTCTGACCTTTTACCATCGACCCAACTTGGCTCAGTCAGTGACGTTCCATTGTCTATAGTGGAAAGTCCCCAGGGGGTTTCGGTAAAAGGTCTCTCTATACATTCTGCTCCTAATGAAGAAGTTGCTTTAAATTTTTTGTTTGAGGTAAGCATAGTTGGGATTTTTTCCTCTATCCCATTTGCAAGGGGTAGCATTTTTACAGATTAGGATATATGTTCATTCCTGTTGTTCAACGGAGCTACATTCGGTTCTGCTGTAATAGGACCTTTAGCCCACATCTGTATGATGCATGTTGCCATTTTAATTGCTGTGGCTTCCCCTTGGATCTCAGGGCATTGTAGCTTTGAGAGACTGAGGAAATGTCACTTTAGAGCCTAGTCTTACTCCCCAGGTTTCTCATTTAAAAGGATAGCTCTGAGAATTCCCTTGGGAAAACTCCCAACAGGTAAAGTATTTTAAAATCAAAATTGTATTTATCTGTGGAAGCACTGTAGTTCCACTCCCAGTGGCATTCCCATGCCAACAATATATGGTGTCTTCTAGAATCATCCAACCCTCGCTGTGCCAACATAACAGTAATGCTGACAGGCTTCATACCACTTCAGCGAGGGCCGGGTGATGCTATGAAGATGCTATAGGTGCAGAAATGACCCATACGTACACTTCAAATCTATCTGTCTGTCTCCTCCTAGTGTAACATTCCTCCCTTGCATCAGTGTTTCCACCATGGATTTTTTGTGATGCAAATATATATTTTTCCCATATGGAGGAGCGTGCGGTCTGTGTCAGCCTTCCTCAATAGCTTGCTTTCCAGATGTGCTGGACTCCATCTCCTGGAGCATCTTTCACCAGCATGGCTGTGCGGGAAGTTACATCATGTTGGAGAAGGCTCATGCTAGACCACGTATCAATTTAAACTGGATCAAAGCAGATAGCGTACAGCCTCAATATGACCCCTGCGAGGGACTGCAAATCCCATTATCCCATAGGATGCATATCAAGCACAATATATTCGATGGTGGTGATAGCATTCAACCCCACCCCACCCCCAGTCTTTCAAAGCTAATGAAATTAATAATGGTTTATATCATGCTCACAAGGTGAAATAGACCAGGGAAATTGCTCAAGGATCTGTTGCGTGTTCATTTCAAGAGATACGGATAAAATTGCTCATCTCTGCCCCAACTTTTTGCATTTTCTTAGGCCATTTAGTTTGTCTTGGCTTAAAGCAGTTATTTCTGTTCTTTGGCTTTTAAGCTGTACTATATTTTTATGCACTTCACGGCCATTGGATAGTAATTTCTTTTTAATTCCACCTCGGAAGCCATCCTGAGAAAATGAACTTTCTTCCAACTTCTGCCTCCATCGTCCCTTTCTCTGCTAGGGCGACACCAACAGAGCTGTTGGTCAACATGCCTTGAATAAGCATTCCTCCAGGTCCCACTGCATCTTCACCATTTACATTGAGGTCAGTACTGGTGAACTTTTCGTGTTGGCTTGGAAAACCCCAGGAATCTATGATTCACAGCAACATTTTTTTTAAGCACGCCCTAACATTTTTGATCTCTCACTTCAGTGTCATTCCAGAATCCTTTCAGATGCCAGATATGTCACCTCCAAAATTAACTTAGTGGATCTTGCAGGCTCAGAGAGGCTGTCAAAGAGCAAAGTAAGAAAATTAGGGTTATATTATGAGTTCACTAACTTGTTTTTAGAGCGGGGATTATATACTTTGCTTTTATGCCTTGCAGAGATCTGCCAGCACATTAGGAGATGACTGGGTGAACGGGGTTGATATTTTTAGCCTTTTTAAAGCTTTTTCTCCCATTGTTTTGGTGGGGTATTAAAAAGCAAGCTGGTGTTTTAAGTTTTGTGTGGACATGGTACCCATTTTGGTCCTTAAACTCAGCTAACCTAGGTAAGCATCTTATCTGAATACAGTCAGAGAATGTAGAAGTCAACCCATTTCTACAAATTTGCTCTTTGCAAATATTCTCAGCCCTCAGTAACTCCCCCAAAACAGGTTTAAAGGTTCACTGCTTGAATTCTCTTATTTTCCCCCATCCACAGATGGCTGGGAAAGGGGTCTGTTCAGAGCTAGCCTGTAGGGAGGGGATACACTTCCCAGAGGCTGCTCATTCCTGGCAGGCTTTGCCTCCTGTGGCCTGCAGATCACATGCACCCTGTGGGTTGGCTGCCCCTGTTTTAAGAGAACAAGGGCTGTTTTTCCTTTGTGTGCTGTTGAAGACGTGCCCATCAACTGACAAAGCTTCAGGGATGCACTGCCCCCGCTCATATCACGCTCCCTGCTTATCCTGAATCAAGGGGGAAGCCGGAGTCACTGGGCGTTGGGCAGCATACAAATTTAATAAATTATGATGATGATAATGATTGCAACCAGCTCTTCTGCCAAAAAAATTGCACCCTGAAGCTGCTTTCATTGCTGCTTTCTCTCTTGGGTTTTCCGTTTCCTTATTGAAGTCAGCGAGAGGGAAACTCCTGGCTGATGTAAACTTTCTCTGTGGAGGGGCCTGGCCATGGGCTGACAAAAATACAGGATCCAGCATAAGGATGCCCACGTCCACCCACTCTTCTGCCAGCAACCAGTAGAATGCTTCTTCGGGCTGAGAGGTCCACCAGGCATCGTCCAAATACTGGTCTCATTTATGTTCCGCTGGTACAAACTTCTGCAGATCCTAAGAATTTGCCCAGTATAGCTCTGCAACCCACCTGTGGTCAGGAAACATTCTGGGTCTTTTACCGATGCTTACTTATTATGTGGTTGTAGCTTCCGGATGGCTTTAAATCCTTGTGAGGCTCTTTTTACAGATATTATTGCTTTTATATGCATGGATATATACTGAATGACATATTCTTGGTCATCTCTTTTTAATTTTCTTTTTCTCTTTCTGACAGTCAGAGGGATTTGGACTGAAGGAAGCAACTTACATCAACAAGTCACTGTCATTCCTCGAACAGGTTGTCATCGCCTTGTCAGACTACAACCGGGATCACGTCCCCTTCCGCCAGAGCAAGCTGACTTACACCTTGAAGGATTCATTAGGTAGGGGCTTGGGTTCCCCTGGGTGGGGAAAATCCAGATTCATATCCCTATTAAGCACAAGCCTGGTTATTCCTTCCAGAGATGTAACAAGGCTAGATGTCATGCGAAGTGTAGTTTAACTTCATCACCATCACCGTTTATTTACTGAGGTGCACCAGTCTGTTCAATAATGCCCAGGTTGGCGATCAATATATAGGAAATAAAATAGAACAATTAAAAAATAAAATAATTCCTCCCTCCTTAAAATGTTCAGACTTTTAAAACTTTAAATTTTAAAACTTTTAAACCTTTAAATGTTGAAACTTAAAAAAAAAACTTAAAATTTTAAATCTTTAAAAAAATTAAACTTTAAATTTTAGAACTTAATTAAAAAAAAATTTTTTTAAATTTTAAACACTGACAGGTAGTGTCTTAGGAGACCTCTCCTCTCTTACCCTTATTCTGACTGGAGTTGTGTTTCCACTGGAACTCTAAATGAGAGAAAAGCTGTAACTAAAACTTTCTGTAAAGGAATTCAACAGTCTTGGGACCACCCAAAAAACCCAGCTCCATCTTTAGCCATCATCAAATCCCAAGTGCAGGTTTTCTGGATATCTCCAGGAAGGAGAGCAAGAGATGTCACACATGCCATTATGTCATCATGCAAAGGAGGCAAATTCTGTAATGTGCAAATCGTGTCATTTGTTCAACGACATTAGAATGCATGTGATATCCTTGTGGTTTCCTTGTATTTTGTGGGGCTTTGAGGTGTAGCTATAACACACTGTATGGACTATGCTTGAAAACCCTGACATTTCCCAACATTACATTTCTTGTCCTGAATGCAGAATTCCTCAGGTGTGTGTGTCTCATTTTTGGTTTAGTGCAAACCACCTTTGCTTCCTCCTGTTTTTCCTAGGTGGGAATTGCAACACTGTCCTTGTGGCTAACATCTGCAGTGAGGCCATTCACATAGTGGAGACGGTAAGCCCCAGGCCAGCTGGACCTAGATAGGGCCTGAACATGTCCAGAGATTATGCTACAGTTTCAGATTTTTAAGGCACTTTCTCAGAAATGCTCAGCTAGAAATGTTTGCAACATGGAGCAAAATAAGAACTCTTCCACTCTACCCAGTACATGGGGCATGGCATTTTCCAGTGCCTTCCTGTTTAAAAACATATTTCTTTGCAACTAGAAACCTTGCAAATCAAGGAGATGCCTGAGACAGAAATTTCCGGCTTATTGGGCAATCTAAAAGCACAATAATTAATTTTCAGTAGTGTGGTTTTTAAACATGGGGAGCATTCAGAAATAGCATGCACCTGCCTACAGTCATCCAAGATTGTATTCCCCCCCTTCAGCAGCCTGTGTCAAATAAGCCTGATTCTTAAGCTTGTCCCTGGACCAGAGAATGGCCTTGGGTGTAGCTGGGGGGGACTGGCTACAAGCAAAGGTCAGGTTCTAAATTTGACTTTATAGGAGGAGAGCTGTGTTAGTCTAAGGCGGCAAGAAATTAGAAGGAATCTGGTAGCGCCTTTTCCAACTCACCAATTTTATTAAATGTATCTCTATGCACAATATAGAGCATGTGGGGAGTTGTGGGGAGATGGGTGGGGACAAGTCAAACAAACAAGAAGAAGAAGAAGAAGAAGAAGAAGAAGAAGAAGAAGAAGAAGAAGAAGAAGAAG